ACAGTGAAATCACCATTAGACATCTACTTGTGAGATGTGAGGCAGACAGGATTCATAAACAATGAAATCAAGGCTTCAAAGCCAAAGATTTTTAGTAACGCACTTATTCAACTAACATTCTTGACTCCTGATTAGACATTCTTTGAAAACTTACTCTACAAGATTTTAAAGATTTTATTCTGCTTAAATTAGTAATCACCTTCCCTTTAACAGACAAACAAAAACAAAACAGCATGTTTTACAACATTACATAGTAAAAACACAATATAATACAAGTCTTTCAAATTACTCACATGGCAATTCTTCATGCTTGTGGGTGAAGAAGAAATTTGTGTGGTAATTCAACTTTACATTTCCACATAATTTCAAATATTATATTTTTTCTCCTAGTTATTTGGTTGTTCAAAAGAAAAGTGACAACATATAGGGAAGATACTGTTTTAATTTTGCTACAGATTTTTTTCAAGGAGGTGCCATTACCTAGTTATATTTATAAGATTATTCAAAAGTAGAGAGGTTTATCTTGTTTACAGTGATGAGAAAGATTGAAAATCTGTTAGTAAAAATACAAACTTCAGGCTCTCATGGACTCTTAAGTGCATTCTGGATGTCCAATATGTCTGTGGCAAAATCCAGTTTTATTTGATCTCAGTAGCTACAAAGTGACAAGACATGATGATGTTCCACACTGCCAGCTCTGGAGAAAACAACTGTAACATTGGACAAATCTATATGAAACCATGTATAGAGGACATGGCATTCATATAAATGTGGAACATGTTGGACCCAATATTGTAACTACATGAAGAGCCGATGATCATGTGGATGTGACTGTCACAGACAGCTATAGGGACAAAACAATGAGTTAACAGGAATGTGATCATGTCACACTCTTCAAATAAATTAGCCAAGGAAATGATTTTCCTAATTACAAGGTTACCCATAATGTTTGAAATTGGCGGATTGGTATGCACACATTGTGAGGGTGTGATCTTCAAAGTTAGGCTTGACGTTACCACAGGAAAGAGAACACAGATAACTAGAAACAAGATAAAAAAGACAGGCTGAAGCATTAGACAACTGGTCAACCTCAGGAAGCCAAATTCCTTCTCTGTGGTCTGATTTATCTTGAACATCTCCAGGTGAATTTTTCTGTTTAAGGACATAAAACAGACCAATCATACATGAATAAATTATATACATTTAAGATTCTATCAGTGTATCTCATATCTTTTCTAATTCCCATTGCCTTATAAAATTAATATCACTATTTCCAGTTTATAAAAATTGTGTTTATTTATCTATCTTCCTACATTTCCATCATCTATTTGGTTTTTTAAAGGGTCACAGACTATGAACCAGCCTGAGCAATACAGAAATGATTGCTTTCAAACATTATATCTAACCTTATGGAATTTACAATACCATAGGGAACACAGGCATTAATTAAATAACCCAAACTATAAGGGTATTATATCCAAATAATGATAAATATAATAAGGAAAAATTTCAGAAAGCTGTAAGAGGAAAACAAGTCTCAAATAGGTGAAGTAACTTTGTAGTTAATAATAAAACTGAATTTGCATTTATTAAGTGAATAGCATATATCAGACATTGTACTAAGTACTTTGTATGTATTAATCCATTTCTCCTACACAGCTTCTCTATAAAACTACTATGCATTCATCTTATAGAGGAAAAAACTGAGGCAGAGAGAAGTTGAGTAATTTTCTCAGTAAATCTGACTCCAGAGTTCTTGCTCTTATCTGTTAATTTATCTGAGAAATGCTGGAGTCAAAAACTCACATTATTAAACAAGTTGGGTATGTCTATATATTATACAATAGGATGTTTTCTCATAGTGGATTCTGTTACTCATTGTGAACGTAGCTGTCAAATAACTGATCAACAACATTTTTGGATGACATAAAATGATACTTTTATTCACTGCATGGTTTTTCGCTCGAATAAAATATAAGGAAAAATGTTTATTATGGTAAGAAAAAAAAAGTTTGAAGCCAGAAACATTTGAATTTCTATTCTAAGCTATGCTATTTTTTTTGTTAACAAGTCATCTTTGAGTCTCTGTTCATCTTTAAAACGGATATAATAATGCAGAAATCATAGTATTAATGGGAAGACTAAGTGAAACACTGTATGTTAAAATAATGTCTGAACTTTGGTAAGCATTATTATTTCTTTCTCTGCCTTTCATGTGTGCCTGTATGAGACTGAGATTCTAAACATTCTTCAAATGTCCACTGTTCCCAAGAAAACATATGACATATAAACAAAAATGTTACACTTACAGCATTATCATTCCCTGGAACATTTGTTTATTCTTTAAAAATATACATGGATTAGTTTTCCATAAAAAAAAAACTACCAATCAGCGTCATGATCTTTTAGATAGGTAGGAAGAAATATATAGAATGTCTTGTAATTATTGTTCCTTAGAGAAGTGCAGTAAATAGTCTCTATTTTCTCATACATTCTTCCAACATCACATTGCTCCATTTGTTCAATAAATACAGAATCAGCAGAATTAACTTTAAAAGAAAAGCAAGCATGTAAAAGCCTTTTCTTAAAAGAGCCTTTGTCATTAAGAAAGGAATTCTATAATTTTTAGGTAAAATTATGGGGTCTGCTGAATTAATCGTTAATACAAAAAGCATTTCATGAGTATATACTTATTCTACATCCATTACAGTGTAACATGAACTAAAAGAGACAGTCTAATAATGTAATTCTAGCCAACCAATCAATTCGTGAAAGCATATGATGAAACTCCTCTTGAATCTTAAACTTGGGTGTTTGCAGACATAACTACAGCTTCATTTTGCTAATATCAGTCATAAATGTCAATGATGTTATGGGTCATTTCTATTTCTGAACAAAGCTATTGGTTTATGACCCATGTATTTTCTCAGAGTCATTCATGGTTCCACTCAAAGACATTGTCTTATATATGCAAAAATGGAGGCATTTTGTCAGTGTTCAAAATGGAGATTCATTTATTGTTATAATGCTGCAGTCATTATTGAGACTTTATTTGCTGCCAAACTAGACTGTAAAGATAAAAAGACATATGGGCTCTGAAATCAAACAATTTGCAACAATAAAGGGGCTAGTTTTATGTAACTGAATATATGTGTATGCTAAAAAAGGAACAGATCCCAAGATATTTGTTTAGGTAAAATCCAACAAGCTATTTTTGAATGTTGAAAGTTATAAAAATAGTTGCTTGTTTATTTTTGGGTTTTAAAAGAATGTGTAGACAATCTGACTTTCAAAATAAATATATTTAAAGAAGAACACCTGGTAATAGAAAGGTTGAAGCAATTGTATGGGCTAATACAGAATTAGTGAATAGGAAGATGTTGCAATATAGGAAATGTTGAGCAGAAATAAGCTCTGAGGTAGAAAAGAAGCTTTGAAATACAACTGAGTAAAATATGTACATTGGGGAAGTATTCATTAAACTTCGGTGGCTTTTCATTTTTCACTGAGAGTAGCATGTATGCATATGATTACAAATCAGTTCTAACATTTATTTTGCTCAGACCCTGCCTGTTCTGACATAACATTGTACTAGGAGTTATTGGTATATTGGAGCAGGTGCACAAAGGATGAACATGTTTTTATCTTTTACAATCCTAAAATTAACTTCAACTTACTCTGAATAAATTTCTTCTTTCCTCTGTTACATCAGTACTTCCATTGTCTTGTATTATACTTAACAAATTTTACTGAGTTTTCTCAGTATAGATTCAGAAACTCTGCAAAGCTATATAATCCTAAAGCTCCTTGACAGTTCCTTGGTACTTGAAATAATACTTGGTTTATTGTAGATGCTCACTTAACATTCAAGAACTTTGCTTATACTCATCTGAAATGCTAACATCTTAAAAAATCAACTTGTCATTTGCATCCTTCAGCATGAAAATATTTACAAACAAGTCAACATATTTAATTTTTAAATAAGATACCTAATAATTCATTATGGCAAAGGACAACTATGGGCAAAATTCACACTACAGTACAAATAGCAAATATCTGTTCCATCCTGAAAAATAGGTTAATAGGTAAAGATGAGGGAAAGCATGCAAACCTCAGACTCCAGGAGACTAGAATGTCACTGAGAAATGCTACAGAAGTCACAGTTCACTCTGACAACAAGACATGTATCTTTCTTTATAAGAGTCCCTCTTTGCTTCAGGAGCTAATATCTAAAAAATAATAATTGTTTGGAAGTTTTCATACCCTGATATGGCAGAAGGAGGAATGTATTTTATTGAAAGGGACTCTAGCAAGTGGGGAGAAATAAATAGGTGTCAGGCATGGACATGGAGGTATTTTCATAAGTTCTCTTAAAGGTGACAGCAAGTTTCATCAGCAATTATGGTCACATTCCTCTAAGCCACGGTATCAAAGCCCCTGCATAGTAAAAGCTACAGAATTATAAACTCCTAAAAATTAGCTCAACAGTCAACATCTGTAATAACAACTTGTGTGTATGTGTACATATAAAGCCATACATTGTTTTGTAGATATTAGATATTATCTGTAAACATAAGAAAATTGTTAATAGTGGTAACTTTGAGAAGTGAGACTGGAAAATCAGGGTGGAGGAGAGAAAAGGAAATGTTTTTCACTCATGTACTTTATACCCTTATAGAGAGATTGAATGTTTTCTTGTAAGACTATAAAATTTTTATAATGTAAAAGTAACATGTAGACTTACAAATGAAAAAGTGTATAAAGGAAGAGAAATTATCCCCTATAGCTACATATATAGCTCCCAGTCCTTTACATAATCAATGAATCACATGTCACATACAAAACTGTAAAACTTCTATACCTTTTTCTTTTAATGTTTTTTTGTTAGATGACAGCTCTGTACCAGTTTCAAAATTGACTTTACCATAAATGGAGTTAAAGTAGGATCAACTTCTCGTAAATACATCTTTTGTTTATTTGTAAACAGATGCACTGTTAATTTACTTCCTCAGTATATTTCTGCTGATCAATTTCCAAAAAGCTTGTTTTACATTCTTGTTCCTCAGACTGTAAATGATGGGGTTCAACATAGGGCTTAAAAAAGTATAGAAAACAGCAATGATTTTGGACTGCTCGACGGACTTCTCCGTGGGAGGCCTAACATACATGCAGAACAGGGTCCCGTAAAACACGGTCACAGCCACCAGATGGGACCCACAGGTGGAAAAAGCTTTGTGCCTGCCTTCAGCCGAACGCATCCTCAGGATGGTAATGAGGATGAAGGTGTAGGAGATGAGGATTATGAGGAGGGAGTTGGAGAGGTTAAATCCTGCTACCACAAACATGGAGGTCTCCTTCACGAAAGTATCAGAGCAGGAGAGTCGGATGAGGGGCGGATCAGCACAATAGAAGTGATTGATGACATTAGAGCCACAGAAGATCAAGCGGTATGTCCACATGGTTTCCATCAGACCACTAAGGAACCCATAGACATATGGGCCAGCAATCAGGCGGACACAGACCCCTTTAGACATCTTGCTGCCATAAAGCAAAGGGTTACAGATAGCCACGTATCTATCATAAGCCATTACAGCTAGCATGTAATATTCAGTGATCACCATAGCAATGAAAAAATAACACTGGACTAAACAAGCAGCATATGAAATGGTTTTCCTCTCTGATAAGAAGTTCACCAACATCTTGGGAGTCACGTTAGTGGAATAGCACAAATCCAAGCAGGACAAACTGGCAAGAAAGAAGTACATAGGGGTGTGGAGGCGTGAATCTATCCTGATCAATACCAACATCCCAAGGTTCCCCCCAACAGTGATCAAGTAGATCACCAGGAACAGCACAAAGAGGACGGGTTGCAGCTCTGGACGATCCGTTAATCCCAAGAGGATAAATTCAGTCACCAACGTGGAATTTCCTCTGATCATTTTCTTAGGTGCCAACATTGTTTACTTAGATGAATTAAAATGAATTAAGAAGTGAATGAAACACCCATCACAGGCTTCTTCTCCTTTTTTCTTCCATTCTCTCTCTTTCAGTCACCCTCACACATAGCTATTATCACACAGAGTCTGAGACTATGGGATCTGGGACTTTTAAGAAGGTCATAACCCCTATTAGCTAGGTGTGTAATGTGCAGATGATTCTCAAAGAGAATGGCTCTAGGGATACCAACTTGTTTTGAATGGGGGAATTATGACCCAAAGTTTGTCTAAAAATGGATTGAACCACCAACTACCACTTCAGGCTTACTATAAAATCATGAGCTTCATCAGAACCCAGAAATGATTCTGGACAAAATGGTGATATGTTTTTGCAAACCATTGTGCAGTTATTAATTGTGTGTGCATAGTTGTAAGTTTGACCTTTGAGAATTGCACTCCCTCCTGGTTGTAATAGAGAGCCTAAAACTATAGGGGTTTGAAAGACATTCTCTGGGGCCCGTTTTACTGCTATACCCATAAAATGCACAAGGCTGTGTGATATTTTTATGTGAATAGGCCAAAGATAAGGACCCCAGATTTGGATATACGAAAGCCCTATGTGAATTACTAATGAAGGAATTTTCAATCAGAATAGTTTGTATGAATAAGCAAGAGAGACATGGGTAGGGGAAAACCAAGTGGCCAAAGCTCAGATCATAGTTTTGTTTGCTTATCTTTTTTCTTTTCTTTTTATTTAACCCAAAAAGCATTTAAGGAGTTTACAGCATATGAGAAAAATTGGTAAATGTGTGCTGCTGATAAACACAAAATTAACTCTAAACTTTGTAGTAACATTTGTAAGTAGTTTAATCTTCTTCATTGAAGAACTATAATGTCCAGAAGTTATAAAACAAAAATTAATCATCAGAGAAGTATTCTTAGTACAGAGCTCACATGATACTTATTATAATGAAAAGATTATACTTCCACATAAAATTGTCAGTTTAAATAATATCATTTACAATGAAATAATGAAATGGGAAATTATTGTACCAGGAGTCTGGAGAATATATTTTCATTTTGGATTCTCAGTGTTATATGTTACTTTTTAAGGGACACACTAAAGAAGATAAGGGATCAAAACTCAAATGCCTTGGGAGCCATTTAGGTGATAAAAATGAGTGAGGTGGCCTACAGATCAGTGTAAACCACAGTGAACTAGATAGTGGTTCCCAAGCTAAAGAATCAGCTTTATTTTTCAGGCCAGCTGAATTTTTACTATGTGGTAATGTGGATGCAGTGTTCTCAAGAGCTTCCAATTTCAAAGATGTATCAGAATTTATTATTTTTATGTGAAAACTACCAAATACAGTATTGGCAAATTATATCATTTTTAAACCTATCTTCAACCAGAGCACAAAGAAATCTGTAGGCTTGATCTACCAAGAAGCAAATAACAACTTCATGCAATGCCAATGTCACCAATTATATTTCTACATCTAAGCAGTTCCTGGAGATTGAACCATGTACCCTCAAAAATTAGCTACTTTGACTCTGTAATACTTTCAAGAAGTATATATAATTTAGTCATTATAATAAGATAACCTTTGTGCATAAATAACATTGAACACTACATATGTACAAGTTACTTTACTAAGGAAATAAAAAGAGCTGCTAATAGTGCTTGTCTCCAAAGAACTGGTTGGTGTGTTCTTGGTAAAGGAAATACATGAAGAGAAAATTAAGGTTAAAAGTGATTAGTGCAAAAATAAAGATTTGAACAAAGTAACTAGTTGCATTCAGTAATCCAGATTAGCATCAAAGAATGAAAAACCTTTAACTGTAGATTTGTTTTTCTGAAAGCGTGGACTGTATGTGCAGAGACAGAAGGCTTTCAGGAGAAATCAAAGGTATTCCACATATATGCAGGTATGAATTTTCTGTGGTGCCAAAAAAAATGCTCAGGAAGTGGCAAACAGCCAAACAAATACAAAGTCCTCTCCATGGGTCAAGAAGTATGAACACTTATGAATGCTACAAAGTACATATCTTTAATACATATTTTTGGAGTGTGTGTGTGTGTGTATGTGTGTGTGTGCTCATGTGTCTATTACACCCAGTTTATGGTGATGAATTAGGGCCAATATTCCTGTTAATTTGCAATAGAAGTAATTTTCAGGACTTAAACCTATAACTTTGGCCTCTGGAAGGGAAATACAGTAACTAGAGGATCAGGATTTGTGTAAAGAGCAAAAGTGCTCTTTCATCACTCACCAGATGGATGAGTCTATTTGGAAAATATTCACCTCAGTATATGTAGATCTTTCATTTTAATGACATAAAAATACTAATCTTTAAATATGTACAACTTGCTGTAAATACTAGCATCTGTTTGGTCATCACATTCTATTTAACAATTAAAATAAAGACAATAAAATATAAAAAGGAAATTGGACTCCAATTTGCCTCTTTCCTACCCTTTCCTTTTAACAGGTTCAGCAGCCACACTCTACCATTTAGGAAGACAAGACTGTATTTTGGTAGTACTATTTCCTCCTATACACATAGATACTTCAGTTTTACAAAGCAATTATGCTGCTCTATTTTACTGTACCTTTAGAAGAACCCTGCAATAATATATGTATAAGTAGGAATGGGGGAAATATGATGCAAAGAAATGTGAAGGTTGCTGTCCCTTGCATTCTTAAATTTGTATTTTCAAATCTGTGTTCAGCAGAACAACTGTATATCCAGCAACAAAATAGGTCTATGTTAAAAGTAAAGTGAGAAAATGCTGAGTTTGGGGAAAAAAAAGAAAAATGGGATATGCTTGCAGGAAGTCTCAGAACCTTCTGTACACCCATTTGGACAGGCCGTTTGGATTTAATTCGAACAGCCTGGAGAATCTCAAGTGTTCTCTTTAGGTGAAGAATTCTTAATTCTACACTGAGTACAAGAGATTGCTGGAGTTCTTGCACTTCAACAGCTAAACAAAATATAAGGAAGTAAGACATCACCTGCATTACTTGGGAAACTACCTTCATTCAATAGTGTCACGAGTAGAGCCCTTTTGAGTTTATCATTGATTAATGCTCTTAAAGAAACTGCAAATAATGATCATGGAGGCACTCCATAAATGGGGAGGGAATAGGAACACGTCAGAAAAAAATCTAAGTGTTCCTAGGGAAATAGAATACAATATGACATCAGAGGTCTGAACACCAATCACAGGGGGATATAAATCTTTTCTAGTGTCAAACACATTATCTGTACAGCTGGACCCTAAATATTAGGACCTGTTTGCTCATCATATCACAGAAAACAAATAATAATGGGTTTGTTTTCTATTTGTGATAAGGCAAATGGTAAATTACCATACATGTGGATATACCATGAGACAAGCTTCAGATATTTTAAATACTCTCATTTAATGTGCACACATTTTAATTGTTATATATTGAAATTACTACATGGAAAGCTCTTTTTAAAATCATAACTCTCCTCCCCTCTCTTCTTTCAGCCCTTTTACCATTCATGACCCTATATCCAAGATCACTCTAATTGCTTTTCTTGCCTGATTCACAATTTCAAAGGCCAAAGGTAGCTAGGAAACATAATTCTCTGAATCTCAATAAACAAGATATTTGAGATGTAAAGTGTGTATATGATAAATACTCTTGGCAAATTAAAATTTTTTCTGGTAGACTCTTATGATAAATTCGTGCTTGCTGCATTAGAGCTGAAGCCTTTTCTTCCACTGGAAGTAAATGTCTGAATGATTTTGGAATACTTACTAGAAATTTAACTCAAGATCTTTTCTGTTTCTACAAGCAAAAGCTTATAAAGTTTCCTCTGCGTAACTGTGTCAAAGGCTCATGCTTACTGGCTGTGGGTCCTGCCTTGAGAGCTTCCTATTTAATTTTTACTTCACCCAGGGCACCCTGTAGCTAGAAAGACTGTTCATTTATTTGATATTTATGTAAGCAGTAGAAAATTTGCTTTCCACGATTTTTATCATATCCTAACTCCTATTCCAACACAGAGTGCCAAATAATTCGTAGTGAATTGGAGAGATTGCTGATCCAGTTTGGTAATAGTCAGAAATATCTATTTTGCTCTCTGCATGAGAAATAGCACATTGAAAAATAATTAAATTTTAGTGAGGCAAGGAACCAGACATCCTTTTAGACATTGCATTGGTGTCCAATCTGAAATTTCTGGGTAATTAAGAATCAGTGTAGTAGCAATGGGTTTTTAAGTCTGTGTTTCTTATTTCAAGAAATATAACTGCAATACACCTCTACATAAGATTTCACTGGATCAATAATGTCAAATTGCTTTCTTCTGATTGGAATATCATGTGAAGTTCCTGTGAACTTGAGTCCCCATCTATTCAACATCAGACTTTGACTAAATAATTTCTAAAATGCTCATAATTAATAACATTCTGATTTAGCATTTAATCTGCATTGATTCAGTATTCAAATCCTACACTCATTACTAATTATGTATCTCTTATTTAATATTGAGTTTTTCCCAAATGCGTCTCACACAAATAATTTTAAAAGAGATTTGTAACGTCCTACCAGAGTTTTGCTTTTGCTAGACTGAGTATAATTCCTGCTGGAATTTGTCTGTCTTTTGAATCATTTGATAGTTTTTTTTGAGGACGGGGAGAGGGACTATTCTTTCAAGAGATAGTTTTCTTAAAAAATTATAAGATTATCAAGTGCTTAGTTTAATATGTTTATCCAATGTGTTAAATGATTGAGTGAGTGGGGAGAATGCTATTGGTAAAGAAAAGTAATTAGTGTAAACACATAACTCCAATAGAATTTTAATATTTTCTCATGAACTCTCTAAATAATAAATACATACCAACTCATTTTAACTTGCTAAGAAATTAAGCTAACATACAATGCTGCTTTTGTTGTCACCTGATTCCTACAGATGACGATCCAAAATTAAACAGAAAGAGAAAGGACAGGTGTAGAAGTCAGAATTTTCATTCCTACCTTACC